GTCCCATTCCCATCCCATTGCTTCCCATCCCATCCCCATGCCATCCTATCCCATCTCATCATGTCCCAACCCATCCTACTCCATTGCATCCCACACAGTCCCATTCCCATCCCTTCCCTTCCCATCCCATCCTCATCCCCACACCCATCCCCATCCCATCCCACTCTATGCTATCCCATTCCCCTCTCATGGCTCAGCTGAGCTCTTGGCTTGCAGCTGGCCCTCTTCAGCACCGCATGTGTCACCCAGCCAAGGGTGACAAGGCTTAGCATGATGACTATTGATTTTAATTAATTAGCTGGGATGGGGCCAATAAACCTCCCCCAGTACCACAGGGGGAGGGGTACATCCACTCTCCCTCCATGTCCTCCCGCAGGTCCCCAATGTGCCAGGGATCGTCACCAGCCTCGTGCGGTTCTGGCTCTTCCAGCGGTACAGGCCAGAGAAGGACAAGCCCTACAGCCCCCTGCCCGCCTGAGAGGTCCCCTAAGGAGCACCCCAACTCTGGCCTGGGCTGGCCCCACCACTGTCCCCTTGGCCCCTGCCAGTGGGACACCAGGAAGGACCTCCTGCCTCCAGCCCTGCATCCTTCAGCGAAGGCCCTGGAGCTCTCAGCAATGCTTTTGGGGTGCCATAAGCCCCTCAAATCCCAGGGTGGGAGGATAGTTTTCCATGCCCATGGCCCTGCCTGGCACCGGGATGGGTCTTTCAGGGGTCCAGGTGTCATTTTTGTATGGATTCAAGTGCCTTTTAATAAATCAGAGACTTCCCAGCGCCTGCTTCTTGTACCTCCCTCCAGGTGCTGCTGCAGAGGATGGTACAGCTCTTTGCCCTACAGCTGCTTTGGGCCTTGTGGCCAACCAGGGGCTGCTTATAGCCATACAGGGGCTACTTGTGGTGGGGGCTCATCCTGACACATCCTGGTATCAGCCCTGGTGTTGGGCAGAGGGCTGGGTCGGGGTCATGAGGGGACCCCGGGAAAGACAGTGCTGCCAGGGGCCTGCTCTGCCCCCCTCGAGCTACAGGAGCCACCCATCACATCAAGGGGGTAAAAGTCTGTGGAACTGACAGGCAGCCACCATGCCAGGAACTGGGAATCGATGGGAATCCTTGCTAAACCCCCATCGATTGAGCAGCCCCGGATCAAGCATCGACCCTATGTTGATTAACCAATTAACAGCGATCTGGAATGAAGATAGCGTGCCGGTGCCTTCGTGGAGTGACAGGAGGGGCCAAATCACACAGCAGACACTGAAGCTTTGGAGAAAGAGATCCCCACCCATGCAGGATACCCCCAGGACCGAGGAGCCTCATCCCACACTCCAGCCAGATGACACTGTTGGAATGAAGGATGCAGTGCCAAGGATGCTGGCAGGAGCCGTGCTGTGTCTCTGCTGCTTGTGCACACCTCACACACGGCCTGGAAAAATCTATATGGAGGGATGGAACTGAGCACAGTGCCAAGGGAAGGAGGACAAGCTCCCAGCGTGCTCTGTCTTGCCCCTGTGGAGCCGGGGCTCCCCGTGCCTGATCCGGCTGCTCCCAGGACTTGGCCCAGCAGGGAGGAGCACCACCCCCCTCCCCACAGCAGCTCCCAGCATGGCCCCACAGCCTCGGGAAAGGGCAGCTTTCTCCACTGACACACCTTGGCTGCCAACCGGTCGCTCCGGCTGTCCCGTGCCGGGAGCGGCCATGACGTGGCCCCTCGTGCCAGCCCGGAGGCAGCTCCCGGATGTTTCCATGCAGGGAGGAGCTGCCACCAGGCTGCTGCCACATGGGCTGGGAGTAGCTCCTGATGGTCATGAGTAGAGGCCCTGGATGACCATAAGTAGCCCCTTGAAGGCCAAGAGTAGCCACTTAATGGCCGTGAGCAGAGGCTCTGGATTGCCAAGAGTAGCCTGCACAAGGTCATGGGTAGCTCACAGACAGCTGTGAGTAGCCCCTAGATGACCACAAGTAGCCCCTGACAGTCCTGAGTAGCTCATAGAGGGCTGTCAGTAGCCCCTGATGGCCATGTGTAGCCCCTGGATGGCTCCACAAGGAGACAAGTTGGTTGGCTGTCAGTAGCCGCTGATGGCTCCAAGTAGCCCTGGAATGGGGCTAGATTGCCATGAGTAGCCTGTAGAGTCATGAGTAGCCCCTGCATGACCGCAAGCAGCCACTGGATGGATATATGTAGCCCCTTTGAATGATCACGAGGAGCCCCTGGTTGGCTGTGAGTAGCCCCTGATGACCCTGAGTAGCCCGCAAAAGGCTGTCAGTAGCCCCCAGAGCACTGCTGTCCTTGTGCTGTGATCCTGACTCCACCAAAGCCTTACGTGGCCAAATCCAGGGCAATGTCAATCCCCAGCCAGCCATGTGCCAGCGAGTGCTGGGAGCTTCCCACCCTGCTCCCACCAGCTTTTGCTGCTCAGGAAACAGCTAATTAGCTGCTCCTGCTAATTAACCCGAGTCCTCCCTCCCGCTCCCAACTGCTCCTTTCTGCAGAGGATACACAGCTGCTAATTAAAATCCTAAAGTCCTTTGGCTAGAGGAGCTGGCGGCTGCCAGGGCAGCAGGTTCCTGCACATGGGGTCAGAGAGCAGAGATGGGGGTAGCCAGGAACAGAGACCCAGACAGAGTCCCCCACCTCTCCGTGTTCCCAGTGAAGCTCAGTGGATGGGCAGAGGAGTTGGAGGAGGTCCCCTCGAGCTGCCGGGGTGTGTGGGGAAAGAGGGGACAAAATGCCACAGTTTAAAGGCTGTGTCACCCACCCCACCCTACCAGTCCCTGTCCTCTATGCCGGGAACCCGGCCAGCAGGACGGGATGAGGCTCCTCCAGCTCCCACCTGCTGGGGTGAACCACATCTGAGCCGGGAATGTGCTTGGGCTCCAGGGCACGGCTCGGTCCCCTATCCGACTCCAGAGCCAAGTTCCAGGGAGCTCAGCAAGGGACAGGCAGGGCAGGACCGGGTGTGGGGAGTTTCCCTGCAGCCCCTCAGGGTGGTGACAAAACTGGGCCTTCATAGAGACCCTGCCCTTCACACAACCCCCCAAACCCTCCCATCCCACCGCTGAGAGCTGAGCGATTCCCCCGGGGGGCTTCCAGCAGCGCCCGAAGCTCTCAGTGCCCACAGCCCCCCGGAGCCCACCGCCCCCGCCGTGTCCCTGAAGAGAACTCCGGTCACAGAACAGCACGGGCAGCACCGTCCCGGGGCTTTATTGGGGTTCGAGGCGCAACCCCCGCCGCCGCAGGTCGGCCCGCGCCGCCTTGATGTGCTCCTGCAGCTCGGCCGCCGCCTCCTCGCAGTCGTTGAAGGTGGCCACGCGGTAGCCCACGGTGGCCAGGGAGTAGCAGCCGAAGGCCACGAGCAGGTAGACGGGCAGCGGCAGCAGCGCCTGGCGGAGCGGGGCCGGCGGCTGCAGTCCCGGCGGGGCCAGAGCCAGCGCGGCCCACGCCGAGCCCAGCAGGGCGAGTCCACAGAGCCACTGGCCCAGCTTGGTCATGACGGCCTGAGGGGAGACGGGGTGTGAGAGTGGGCGGGAGGAGAGACTGAGAGTGGGAGAACCATGAGAGGAACAGAGTGGGGAAAGGGCGGATAGGGGACGGGGGAGAAAGTGGAGCGGGGGGACGGGCAGAGAAGGAAGGAGGAGGGAAGCCCGGAGAGTGGAGCCGGCAGGGACGGACCGCCCCACGCCGGGCCCAGTGTCCCCCGCGGCCTCCTGACCGGAGCGCGGCCCAAAACGCCCCTGGGCCTCCACCCGCCAAAGATCGGACCCGGGACCAGCCCCACCCCCACCTGACTCGGTCCCGCTCTCGGTGCTGGTCCCGCTCCCCGCCTGGCGCTGCGATGACGTAATGGCAGCGCCGCACGCGAGGGCTGCCGGGAATTGTAGTTCCATAGAGCAGCGGCTGCGGGCGCCCCCTGGGGGAGGGGCGCTACACCACCGGGACCCCGCCGGGACCCCGGGTCCGGCCCCGCTCCCGGTGCCGCAGGAAGCGCCGGGCTTTGTCGGCCGCGGCCACGACCGCAGGAAGCATCTGGTTTCCTCCACATCCGGCAGGAGAGGTGCCAGGGGCCCGGCGTGGGAGCGAGTCCCGCCCGCCCTCCCACGGCTGCGGGAACCGCGCTGTTCCCACCCCCCCACCCGGGCAGCCCCGCTGACCCACCCGGTGTCTTGCGGAGGGCACATGAAGCTGTGATCCCTTGCCAAACCCAGGAGCCTGAGCTGTGCCAGCACAGCGGTCTGGTGGCAACTGGGGCTGGAACCCCAAGCCTCTGGGACCCCCACAGCTCCCCTGCCATCTCCAGCCTCTGTGGCTCCAGAGTCTGCTCCTATCTTGGCTCCGCTGGGATCGTCCTCCCTTGCAGGACTGGACAGACAAGACGGCAGCAGCACATCTTCTGACCTTGGCCACCCCCAGCTTCCCTGGGCAACCCAGAACCTAACTCAGGCTCCAGGGCCACTTTGGCACATAGCAGGGCCAGGAACTGGGCTGGGAGCTAGCAGAGGGGACAAGAAGCTACAAAGAAATGGCTTTATTGGGCAGGGGTGAGTCCCAGATCGGCCACAGGGAGGGGGCTGCCCCAGAAAGGGGCAGCAGGACATCAATTTCTCTTCCTGCCCTTGCCAACAGCCTTGGCAGGAGCAGCAACGGGTGCTGTGGACTGGTACAGAGTGGAGGAGATCTTGTTGATGTAGTAGAGACCGACCATGGAGAAGATGAGGCTACAAGGGCAGAAGGGAAGAGGCTACTCAGCTGCTGGGGGCAGGAACATGCCAGAGTTCACCCCAACACCACTCCCCTGCCGTTCCTAAACCAACACATTCCCCTTGGATCCCACTCTCCTTCCTAAACACCCTCCCTTGGATCCCACTGTGCTGCTGTTCCCACCAGTCCCCTGAGATTCCCTGGCAGTCCCGGCCCTGCCCAGCCTCCTGCCCCCCTCCCAAGTGTCACCCGTGATCCCTCAGTGTCCCCTGGGTCACTCCCCACCCTCCAGGGCAGCTCTGAACATACCAGGTGGTCACACAGACCCGGTGGATGAGGCCAGAGGCGAACAGGGCCAGCAAGAGGCAGGTGAGGACTGTGGAGAACCAGGAGACACACAACGCTGCAGGGCTGCCCCCAGTGACAGGGGGAGGGGGCCCTGGCTGCAGCAGCATAATTTCCCCCAGGCCCAGCAAATGCTCAAAGGGAGCTGCCACAGTTCCAGGGCAGGGCTGGACTGTCCCAGGGCTGGAGAACCTCCAGCCTTTTCAACACCGATGTGTTCCCACTCTCCTCCTGGGCTCCCACAACACTTACTCTCAGGGAATATCTTGGCCTGGAAGCCCTTCCCAAAGATGAGGTTCTCCAGGTTGTTGAAGGCCTGGTTGTGGGGTTAAGGGACAGAACGAGATCTTGCTCCTATCTCCCATCCTCTCTGCTCCAGCCCCACTCCTGACCTCTGGCCCTGCTCCCCACCACCCCTTTGGTCCAGTTCCCAGCCCCCTGCTCCGATGCCCTGGTCCCACTCCCCACCAGCCCCTCTCCTGTCCCCTGCTCCCAGTCCCAGTCCCCAGGGATACAGTGAGGGAGCAGACGAAGAGCGCAGAGCCCAGCAGCCCGCCCTGGATCGTGAGCCACTCGGTGGAGGCGAGCTGCCGGCTGTACATCTGCATCCCGGCGAACAGCAGCAGTGACAGCAGCGACGACAGTGCCAGCGATGTGCCCGTGCCTACGGCTGCACCCCGGGGCCGACTCAGCACCGGCACCAGGACCAAGGCCGGGGTCTGAGCCCACCCTGCACCCCTCGGGCCGTGTCGTGCCCCCCTCGCCCCTCATCCCTCATTCCGCCAGCCCAGCTGCCCCCCACTCTCGTTAACCCCCGCCCCGTTATCCCCGTGCCCCCAATACCGCTCTGCCCTGCTACACCTCCATTCCTCTCGCCCCATTGCCCCCTGCCCGCTCACGCCCCCGCCCCGGTACCCCTCATTCCCCCCTTTCCCGTTACCGCCGATAGCGCCCCTATCCCCGGTACCCCTCCCTGCCCCGTTACGCCCCCTTCCCCCATTACCCCCGTTACCCCTCGCGCCCTCGGTATTCCCATTACCATCCGTGTCCCCGTGCTCCCCTTTTCCCCATTTCCCCCGTCACCTCCCATTTGCCCATTTTCCCCCCGGTTCCCCGTTACCCATGGTGCCCCCAGCCCGTCCCGGCCCGCTCCCGGTGCCGCCGTTCTGCGCACGCGCACCGCGGCCGCGCGCAGGGGGGACACGGCAGCAGCGCCGGCCTGCGCCACTGCGCGTGCGCAAGTGGCCCCGCCCCTCCCAGCGAGCGCGGCGCTGCGCGCGCCCCCGAGCGGCCGGGAGTGGCACTCCAAGTGCACGCACGTCCGGAGCGCCCTCTGGCAGCGGGGACGGGAACAGCGCGGGGACGGGAACTCCGCACCCAGCACCGGCCCCGGCACCGACCCCCGGGACCAGCCCCGGCACCACCGCCGGTACCGCTGTCATGCTCATCCCGCCCGCAGCCCAACCCTGTCTCCGCTCCCCGACCGTTGCCCGTCGGGGGACGGCAGGACGTCGCCGCCCGAGGGTGCGGCGAGAGCATCCCCGCGCCGAACCCCCCCCGACCGGTGCCGCCCCTCCGGTGCCTCCACCGCCCCCCGGTGCCGGCGGGGCGGGCGCCGCCGAGCATGCGCGCCACCGCCCCTCGCCCTTCCCCCGGCTCCGCCGCTCCCTGCAACACACCGGGGCGATCGCGGCCGCCGCTGCTGCCGCCGCCGCCGCAGGCACGGGCGCGGGGACCGGAGCCATGGCTGAGGGCGAGGACCTGCAGACCTTCACCTCCATCATGGACGCGCTCGTCCGCATCAGCGTGAGCGGCCGCGGTGGCGGCGGGGGGCGAACAGGGGTCCTCCGGGACCGGGTCGCCGTGGCAACGCGGCGGGGACTGGTGGGGGAGGGCGATGCCCTTGAGGGGTGGGCGGGAGCGGACCCGCACCCCGGCTCACCGCAGAGATGCCCGGGGAGAGCCGTCATTGGGACCCCCCACACCGAGCCATGGCCGAGCCAGGAGCACCGGGTGCAGAGGGGGCGGCCCCATCCCGGCCCCGATCTTGGTGGCCAGCCCGGTGCTGGCGCTGGTCCCAGCGCCGGGCCCAATCCAGGCTCTGCTGTGGGTCCAGTCCCGATCCCAGCCCCCATCTCCATCCTGGCCCCCATCTTCCTCTCCATCCTAGGTCCAATCCCAGCACCCATCTCAGTCCCCATTCCAGCCCTGGGCCCCATCCTGGCGCTATTCCCAGTGCTGGTCCTCATCCCCATCCCAGCCACAATCCCCATCCTGGTGCTGATCCCATTGGTGGCCCCCATCCCCTTTCCACTGCCAGTCCTAATACTGGCCTGATCCTGGCCCTGCTCTGGGCCCAGCCCCAATCCCATCTCCATGCCAAGCCTGAGTCCCATCTGCGTTCTGATCCCAGTGCTGGTCGTGATTCTGATCATGCTGCTGGTCCCAGGCCTGATCCTGGCTCTGATGCTGGCCCTAGTCCTCATCATCCCCCCAGCCCTGGTCCTGATAATGGTCCTGGCTCTGGTGCTGTTCCCAGGCCTGATCCTGACCCTGCTGTGATCCCAGCCTCAGTCCCCAGCCCTGTCCCAATGCTGATCTTGATTCTGACCATGCTGCTGTTCCAGGCCTGATCCTGGCCATGATGCTTGTGCTGGTGCCAGTGCTAGCCCCAGTCCCTGGTCCTGGTGTGGTTCTAGTTCCCATCCCCAGTCCAGCCCTGGGCTTCATCCTGGTGCTGGCCCTGGTGCCATTCCTCAGGCTGCTCCCAGGCCTGGTCCTGGCTTTGATGCTGGTCCCAGTCCTTGGCCTTATCCCAGTGCTGATCCTGACATTGGCCCTGGTCCTGGCTGTGGTTCCAGTGCCGACCCTGATCCTGGCCCCTGGCCTGCTGATCCCAGCTCCATTCCTCATCCCAATGTTAACCCTGATCCTCATCCTGGTGCTGGTCCTGGTGTTTGTCCTTTTCCTGTCTCTGTTGCTGGCCAGTGTTGCCCTAATGATGGTCTCACTCCTTGTCCCAGTACCGGTCCTGATCCTGGTCCTGATGCTGATCCTGGCCCTGGTGTTGATTCCAGGCCCTGGTGCTGGTCCCAGCCCTGATCCTAGCCCTAGT